TCTATATTAGGGAAGATAAAAGGCCAGATTCTGGTCCTCTGGTGTAAGGTACTTGTGCATGAGATGCTGCTGGAGCTTACTATGGGCTGAGTTATCACTCCTAGAGGAGAGGCAGGCAATGGGGAATTGTCACTGCTCTGGTGGTATGGGAGAGGGCAGGTGTTTGCTTTGGGGCACATGGTGTAGCTCTAGGAAGACACTGGGGTGATTTAGTGCAGCATGCCAGGAGGAACCCTGCTCTCTGCCACCACTGAAAGCAGTGAATAAACTGCCTGCTTACAAATATTGCTGTCCTGTGCTCCTGGCAGATCACGAGCCCGAGCTTGTGTGCTGCGGTCCAACAGCTTCTGGTCCATAGTCTACTGCTGTCAGGGAAGCTAGGTGCCAGGGAAGATGGTTGAAGGCTTAAGGAGATCTACAAGCTGCAGGGAGAGGAGTCAGGGGGTCATTTCACCTGTGCCAGGCTTGAAAGGCTTATTGTCTTAGAGAACAGGGAAAAAAAAAATTGTGGGGAAAGCTATTCCAGAGCATTCTGGTGATAGACAGGGACTTTTGGAAAAACCCTAATGACATGATATTTTATTTTTACTTCAGTCCATGTTTCTATTTCCTCCCCTCTGGCCTTTTATAAATTTCAGAGTTACACAAACCCTTCCTAAGAATGCCCTTCTCTCTGCCTGTGTGCTGGTCTTGCACATAAAGAGGGAGAGCTTGAAATCTGGTTGTGAAAGCTCCCCTTTAATAGGGCAATAACAGCCTCATCTCCAGCTCTATTCATTTGACATAGTAAAGTAATTTTTATTTGTTAGTGATGGGAACTATTTCCTACTTAAAAGGTTTTCTACCTGTTTTTTTACACCAGTGGCATTCATGTGCTGCAGTTGTCATAGTCAGAAATGATGGATTATTAGTTTATTTGGCATTTTTCAAGATTCTTCTCTATAATAAGTAAATATTGAATTTCCTTTGCATATTTTAATTCACCTTAATCTGTTTGAGTTGTACTGGTCAAATTTTTGTGTGATGTGAATTAAGTAGTGTGACTTTTGTCCATTTTTTTTCTTAAACTGAAAACATTTGAAGGTGCACAGGAAAGAAGAAAAAGTCTATTTCTTCTCTGACAAGGTTAAAGCCCAAGAGTAAGTCAGACAAAAACCCCCAAAAGCTCACTCTGGATATGTTTACTGAAATATTCAAATAGATTTAATTCTCTCTATGTAGTGAAACTCTGGTGGCATATGGGGAAGTAAGATATATTACAATAAAACTGATATAAAACAGTTGAATTCAGAAATAGTGGCAGCAGATAATTTTAGTTCATTATGATTTAATTCAATTAAATGCAGCACTGTTAACTGCAGACTAAGAAGTATTAGTTGTGCCTGTGCAGGCACACACAAGCACTATTTATTCTCTGCCGCATCTCTTTTTGCAGAAGAAATGACACCAGTAAAAAGGGGGTGCTCAATGCTTTCATAGCACTGTAAAACTCTCTATACCTCACAGACCTCAGTGGAAATTTGACCTGAGCAAGGAGAAACATTGAGGGAAGGTGTTGGAGAGTAGACCCATGAAAACCCAGGAAGATGTCCTTGGGTAGTATATGCTCTCTCAAGTTCAACAGTGTTGATGCAGGCGTGCGGATTAACTTATCAGATAGTGTCTCAAATGAGGTTGCCACCAGCAGGGAAAATATAACTGCTGATTTTACTTTTTTTTCTTCAGAAACAAACAATCCATCAGAACAAACTGCTCAGTTTGAACTGCCTGTGCCTTGTCTATCCCAGGCACTGCTCTCAGTCTCTGGAAGGGGTAAAGTTAATGATCCCCCGTCCTCCTCCTCCTCCGCTTACCTGAGCTGTTCCCTGCTCTGCACCTGAGCACAAGAGCTCAAGCCCACAGAGGTACGCAGGCATTCAAGGACTGTGGATTTCAATCTGAGCTCTCTGCCTAAATGCCTTTGTGCATCCATGCCTAAGGGCCATGCTGGCTGTGCCCCAAATCCCAGCTCAGGCTCACAGCCTAGGAGGAGGCTGATGAAGGGCAGGTGGCACAGGACCGAGCTGTCTCCTCTCTCCCAGGGCTTTCTGACCCTGCGGGTGTGGGACACTGAGCTGTGACAGAGAGTGTGTTTGTTGTAGCAATGGGAAAAGGTTTAGCACGGACCTAAAGGCACCTGCAGGAATGCTTGGCATGATGGCATAGAGTAACAGGTAGAAGCTTGGCTGGGATTTTTGTATGGATTCAACAGAAAGAGATTTCTTACTTGTCAAGTATGTTTTATTTGGCTGTGTAAGCTGTGTGGCCCTGTTCTATCCAGGTCAGGCAGCCAGTGTTCATGCTTAAGGACTCCCTGTAGTCTTTACAGCCTCAGACCCTGTAGCAGATGGGTGTATTACAAAGTCCTTGCTTATATTTTGTGATTATGTGATTCTATCATGGCATGGGTTAAACACGTAGCTCCTGTAACTTTGAACACACAGATGCTTCCAGTCCCAAAGAGTCAGTCTGCAGTCTTGGTCCAGGATAAAAGATTGCAGTAAAAGAAGAGTAACTGTGAACTAAAAACAAAGAAATAAAATTTGAATAGTGACAATGATTACCCTTACACCAGCTGCTTGACCACTGTCGGTTTATATGCAAGCTAGCAGAAGGGTATATGCTGTTGAATTATTCTTGAGGGTCAGCCTGGGAAACAAGAGAGAAACTGAAAAGGGGGCTGTGATACAGCAGTGATTTCATCTGCATATGCTTTGGGATCGTTCTGTATTGCAGGTAACCGTCTTTGATCACAGCCTTGTAACCATCACCTTTAATTTGTAGCACAGAGGTTGCTATCTAGCACCCAGCTAGCCAAATGAAATGTATGGCTTGATTAAGGATCTCTTTTGTCAGTAATTTGTGCCTAATGTTTTTAGCTTTCCCACGGGCTGTTACAGAAAATGGTAAATCTGGTTTAAATGAAACCTGATACTGTTAATGGTTTAATAGCAGCTGCCACAGGGTTATGGCATTTTTCAACAGATGCTTCTGTTTCATTTTAAGCCTACACTAAGTCTTAGAATATATTTACATAATTAATATAAAGTACACGTACATAATAATGACAATATTTATAATTTTAAAAGATTTCCTTAAATGACTTTGCTGTTATCTAATCACAATATAAAACTTGAATAAGGAAGGCATATTACTAAAAATAATAATTTATATTAACCTCTTCAAAAAAAGTTGTAGAATGAAGCACAACTGTGAACACTTGTCATCTCCTAACATGGCAGTTATTGGTGTAGGCAAATCCCTTGCTGCTTTAGAAAAAGAGACAAAAAGCCTGCCCGCACCTGAGTTATGCTTGTTATCTTACCTACTGTTCAGTCAGGAGTATAAAAGGAATGATGCTTGTACTCAAATACACACATCAAGAAAGAGCTGTGTCGAGGTGTGTACTTACATACAGAAATATTTGAAGCACCAAAGATTTGTTGATGATTATTGGCTGCGCAATGTCATCTGATGGAGGAAATCCCTGGTAATATAAGAAGACTTTGGCATTTTAGGCTGTTCATAGTGGGTGATTGGTTTGAATGGATTTCTTCTGTTTGGAGGTCTTATTCTTGACTTCCAAGAAGTACTGAGGGTGTATCCTAGAGGATATTCAGAATGAGAGGATGCTCCTGAGTATTGTGGCCTTGTGTAAATATGTATCTGTTCACAGTGAGAAGGAGAAAAGGCTCCTCTTTCTCTGCCTTGGCTGGAAGGCAAGGTAACGTTGAGCACGCAAGTGTACCAAGGCATTTGCTGCTATGAACTGTGAGGACTGAAATGGGAACAATAAAATATGAAAAATATGCAAATAACAGAAAATTGTGTCTATTAAAGAAGCATCCAAGATTGTTTATTTAAGAGATTAGGCAGTCACAGTTCTCTCAGTAGAATGTGTAGGAGCAATGGTGAAGCAGACGTTTTGCTGTGTGGGAGGTGTAGCTGATGTATTTGCTCCCCTTGTCCCCAGGGTGACTACCCTTCATAGCTGTTAGCCTGGGTATGATGGTAGTCATCCTTTGTGTTCTTGCTTTTGTGTGAGTTTTGCTTTATTTGTCCTTTTGAACGTATTAGAATTGTTCAATCGGACCTGGGTCAGTGCCCACCTAAATTAAAGAAAACAGTTAAAAATGTGCCATAGGACCAGATTTCCTTCTCTTTGTGTTTGCCCTTCTTTCTTCTGTACCCAACAAAATCTTACAGAGGGATTTACATAAGTTCATCACTTTAGGGTGTTTCTTCACCACTAGAGTTCAAATCTTTGCCATGGGAACACAACTGCTCCAGGCCCCAAGGCATTGGTAACCCTCTTCCACACCTCCAAGCTGCTCAGAAGAATGTCTATACCTATCTTATGAAAAGTGTAAACAGTGTTTGCCAGTTCTCTCTGAGAACTTTTTACCTCAATATCCTTTTAAACCCTACACTGAGGTTCCTTTCACTAAGAGCTTTAATTTAAAGGAAGAAGGTTATTAAGTACCAACATCATTCCCACGACTGGGTGGAGAAGAGTTTGTGACACAGTGAGGAGCAAGTTTGCGAGTGTTCTTATCAGGTGTTTGGATGAAATTTTCAAAGCTGCTGCAAGATGAATCCAGTAGTGAATCTCAGTAAAGCCTCATAAGGACACCTTAGATTTCCAAGTTGGTTCGTTACTCTGTCTTAAAGATTTCTAGTGGCATGTTTTTCCACCACTGGTAAATAACAACAGGAAATGAATGCTTTCTGAAAGCCAAGGGGAAAAAAAAAGAAATCATAAAATAACCACACAAGAAAAAGCACAACATTTTTTGTTGGAGTGGAAAATTGTTCAAATATATGATTTTTGGGAAGAGTTGTTAATTGTTTCAGTGTGCAAAATTGGACCAAAGGTATGAAGTCTGTAGAGCTTTCTATGATAAAGTCAATTCCCTTGTGATGTCTTTGTAACAAATGAATCTTTTGTCCTCCTTTGCTAGGTTCTACCACATAGAAAAGCTGTGAAACCAGGCATGGTACTCCTCTTTGAACTCTTCCTTCTTCGTGGCACCTATACCTGGATTGATCGAGAAGTGGGATGGGGAGTTTTTCCCTTATGTGATAACAATTTTAATACTCTGGAGGGAAAATTTAAATGTCCCTTCCTCAGAGGCCATTATGACTCCAAAATTGACCGATTCAAAAAAATTGAAAACTTTATTTCTCAGGACTTGGATCATTGGTTATGCAATCTCTACTTTCAGGTTTGTATTTTAAAAATTATTTAGTTTTCTCTACATTTTTCTTTTTGATTCTGAAATTGGATTCTGAATTGACTGTCCCATTTACTGGGATGTCTGATTTAATCAATAATCATGGGGAAGAGATACATGGGAAAATTATATGGGAGAAAACTACAGTAAACGGAGTACAAAGATGCAGGAACTTCCTAAAATTCTTATAACAACATCTTGGACAGCTAGGCTTCACAAACTGTGTACAACAAGAATGTTCTGGCTTTGTGGAATCCCAAACTACTTTTTTTTTTCCCTCTTTTTTTTTTTTTCTCTTCTTCATAGATAATTAAACTACCACAGGATTCAGATAAGCAAAATAAGTGTGGCATGCATGTTCATCTGCCTCCCGAACTTCTCACGTGTTCAAGCACTGCTGAAAAGAATGGTGTCTCAGGAAAGGTTGTACAGTCTGGACCACAAGGTGATGGATTGAAACTTTGATGGTTACATTCAGGTTTTCACTGGATCAACCCATAGTTTCATTCCAATGTTAACTTATGACTATTGTTGCTAAGCTAGATTTTCTTCATTCAGATACGGGCCCGACATGTGTTATAGCAGGAATACTTATTATTAAGGTGGTTTAACTTTGTTTTCAGGTGTGAGCAATTCAAACCAGCCTCATTGCTGAGGATGGAATGGCCATGTTGGCCTATGCTTAAGGTTGAATAATATTTGGAATGTCACAGCAGTAACAGGTCAGGTGTTTATGGCACCAAGCTCACAGGAAGAGAAAAGAAAAAGATACTTTTTGGTGTACTTCTGGAAGAACTTTAGCACCTCTCTACAACAAGGGCTACAACAAGGACTTCAGATTTGGCAGGGAGATAGCTCTGGCATCAGAAGCATGCCTTATGCTTACTCCTCTGAAATTCTCTTAAGATTCAATCAAGTGATAACCCATAGGAAGGACAATTATCGTTTGCTTGTGTACAGCAGACCTCCCCAGAAGGTTTCTCAAAAAATTGCGGAATGATCCTTTTAGACTGATCCTCTCTGGCTTCTGTGAACCTTCTGATGCAGCTATACAACTGGCCATATTGCAATGGAGTCACAAATTGCTCCTCTACTGGTAGAAATCCAGTGATGAGAAGAATGGCAGGATGCTGCTGTCGTTCTTTTCTTTTTTCAGCATGTGGGATCAGACTGAACAAAACAGCCGTGAACAAAAATAATTAATTTTTGCTATACAGATATTTCTGTACTCTCTCTTGTTTAATGGACTGGAGCATTCAGCCAACCCATAGATTGTAGTCTATGTGTGAATATTATGTGCAGATCTGAAACAGAGAATTAGTTCTTCAGGACAGAGATTCCTTAGGCATTTGAGAAAAGCAGTAGTGATGCACTGCAGATAGCACAGGAGGAGAAAGGAGAGGCTATGGAAAGGAAAGAAAGAGAACACATAAGCAATAATCATTTAGCATGGTAAATGGGAAGCTCAGGTTAGAAGTATAACTTGAAAAGAGTCCAGGAGAAGTATTTTTCAGACAGTTAGTGGTGATTTAAGAGATAAAGAAAATGAGGTTTGCCCTGAGATGCTTTTAGGCTAAGCAGCAACTGCACTGTGATCAAAAGGCTTTTATATAACCACCCTGATAAGAGAAGCATGGAGGTGTAAACATACACTATACTGAGGATTAAGGTCTTTTTTGTTGTCATATATCTTCTACATATCTGCTAAGTTGCTTTGAGGTGCAGCAAACCATGAATAGCAGATCCAAAAGGTAGAATTGAAGGCAACTCTTATCAGCAGTGAAGAATTATGGACAAACTCTTAATGGATCAAACTTGTTTGGTCCTACCATCAATCTTCACATGCATTTGGAAATGCACATATAGGGTGCAGCTAAATAGGTCATGCTTTCTGGAAACACTTGGAAAAACTTGTGATGCTCAGTTTGAAAATTCAAGAAAGACATGCTTTTAAGAACTGAAAAAGAGCATTAGTGTATGTCCTATTTTACATGTAGACCTCTGAAATTTGCCAATAAGTCAATCATGGAAGATCTGTAATTTAACTGCCAAACAGATTTGCACAAACAAAATTTTTAGGAGTAATTTTTGATATTGCTTATATTTATTTATTTTTCTTGGAGCGTTCTTTAAAGATATTATTAGCTGCCAATATCCCCCATGGGTTTGTTTTTTAATGTATCTATGCAGTGTTACAGTATGCTATTTCTGCTGGTGATATGTTGCTAAGAGATTTAATAATGGGTAAACAAACACAACATGTGGTAATCCATTTCAAATTAAAAGTTTATTAAATGCTAGCTTGATGACTTTCTGGCTATTTACAATTAAAGGAACAAACCTTAGAGAACTGGAGATCACGTGGTGAAAATCACAACTTCAACATTTGCAACAGAAAAATGTGTTTATGATCTATGGCAAGCTGTTGCACATTGATATGCCCTATAAATACAGTATTATATCTGTTAAACCACCAAAAACTGGGGTGGGGAGGGGAAAGCTCTGTTAGAGTGACATTAAGGTTGAGACACAAACCAGAGAAAGCAAGAACAGTCTAAATGAAGACGGGTGCCCTGTAACTCACTCTACTGCAGTAGTCTAAATAGTGAGTGATCTTATATATCAATACCATATGTGGTACTGCAACATATAAGCGAAATAAAGCGGTTTAGAAGATGGTGTTTTAGCCTTCACTTCAAGTTTGTCTTGGTTTTGGAAGTTTAAAACAGAACCTTCATATTATTTCCATTAACTCCAGGCTACATTATTCTTTTAAGCCACAGCTCTGTGTAGGGCTAGGTAAAGCCATTCCCTGCTGCACAGGCTCTTTGGTCTAGAGCACAGTGCAGGGAAATGCAACATAATGCCTCCCATTCCACCTCCTTTGCAGATCACAGATGCACATTATCAGATCTGGCATGTCTCTTTGTCCAAACCATGTCTTCTCTCCATTCTTTTGAAGTGGTATTCTCTAAGAGGTTCATGGCAGAAGACGGCTTCTGCTTTCGCCACCACCATCCTTTGCTCTTCTTGGAAAATATTCTGCTGTTGATCTGTTGCCCCTTACAGGATCAGCAGTCCATGTCAGAGAATAAATGACAATTTCTGAGTAGAATTCATTATCTACTGTTGTGTGAAAGGTGGTAACAGCTCTAACAGAAGGAGCTTAGGTAAGAAAATTTAATGCAACTACCAGGAATGTTACCTTGGTAGGCATGGATCTAAGTAACAAGGGCTTCTAAAATGCATGAAAACTTCAAAACTGTGAGGTTCCATATAGACACTAAACATACAAGTCCATCAAGAAAGCATTCTCACAGTGAAATCCAGCAAGGACCCTTTTGACTTTAGCATCCACAGGAAGAGGGGATTCACATGTGCAAAATGTCAGCATAACAGTATTTTTTGGATTGACAGCCTTTTCATCCCCATAAAAGTGGATGGACATTACTCATACTCATGAGTTCTACAGCTCAAACACTTTTAGGTCAGACACAGGCTCATTTGGAATGCGTTGTTCCATATTTGTCAGGAACCTTCATCCAAATGCTTGCTTTTGCAGCTGTGCTGTTGATCTGACTTGACAACAAACACCAATTTGTGCCCATCTGACCTTGTGATCAGATAAAACAAGCAAGTGGAAAGCTAGGGATGATTTTATCCACTGTAGTTTCTAGAACCAAAGGAAAACCTTTCTCATCCCCATTCATGCCACTTTAAGGTTGGGCATTTTGAAGTCCTGAAGCTATGGTTAGCACTGTAGCAGTGTATACTGACGTGCACTCAAGACCTAAAAAGGGTGCTTATAAGGTAGAAGGTGGAACAGTCACCAAGCATTAGGACACTGAAGCAGTATTTTTTTTAGTGTTAAGTTTTGTGTATTTTTGGTGAACCTATAGAGTCATGAACGATTGTGCATTCTTTTTTTTTTAAGCAATAATTATCCCAAGCAGGGAGTGTGAAATCAAGAAAGGAGTTTTACTTAGCCTGACTGTTCTGGGGGAGAGGTGTTATCAGACAAGATTTTGAGGGAAAATGAAGTTTGGTTCCAGCAGCAGGATGATCTTGCTGTAATAGAGCTGTGTCACAATAGTACGACTACACTGCTCCCAGTGTCTGGGCTAGCAGAAACATTTGTTGCTATTGCTTTGCTAGGTAGATTTGTCACGTAAAAAGACTTCCACTACCTCAGCTATTTTTGGACTAAACACCTACATAAAGGTTTTCTGAGCCTAAAATCTTCTTTCAAGAACGTCTACTTGTCCCTTAAAACCCCCTGCTCTACTATGGGGGAAAAAGAAAAAAAAAATATATAAATGCAGCTGTTTGAGAATGGTTTTAAGGACAGTAATTCTTTTTTACAATGAACAAATATCTCATTTTCCCCTCGCACATAATTTTTTCTTTCCTCTTACAAGGTTTGCTTTCTAACGGCAGTGCATGTGGCTCCTGTGCCCTATTACATCAACCAGAAGTCAGAACCACAGAAATCTCTTTAGTTCATAGACTATGAGCTTATAACAGAAATAAATATTATACAGAGAGATAATTTTCGGGTGTACAATTTTTCTGTACAATTTAGAGTATTTTTTGGTCTGTCTTCTGTCTGTCTGTCTGCCTGGCTGTTAATAATAAGGTTGGTTTGTGCCATTTGGCTTCAGCAGTCCTTGAAACTTGCCAGGGTTTTAAAGCTTGAAACAGTTGTGCAGGTCTTTAATTGTAAATTAGTTTTGACAGGACTGCTAAGACAAAGGCCTGGCCCATCCCATCGTGATGCTAGCCGACAACCCCTTACTGCTCCTGGAGCAAGGAAACATGTGGAAGGAATTGTTCTTTTACATTTCACAGCTTGTCATTTCCTCTGCAGGGCAACCTCTGACCTCCCCGAAAGATCCTGACACCCATAAGGGAAGTATTCCCACTGTTGTAAAGGAAGTGGAAAAACAGTTTAATGCCGTGAAAGGAGGAGAAGCGTGTGTGTCAGAAGAAGCTGTGAGGAAAAGAGAAGAGCTTAAAATGCTTCCAGCAGGTTAGGACTTTTATTGGGCTACTTAATTTACTAAAAGTCTGCAAGTAGATCTGCTTGGCATGTGTGTAAATACCCCCATTTGCCTTCCCCTTCACCCTGTGATATCATCTCATCATTATTTCACTGGGCAAAGAAAGTGATGGAAGAGTTTAAATCAATTGTTAGGGATCAAAAGCAGCTTAGGCAAAAAGGTACAGAAGCTGTAGGCTCCCCTGTCTAAAATATATTTGTAGGCCAAATGTGTTAGTAATTACAAGGTGTGTGTGCAGTGCACTGACAACATTAGATTATGGCTGGTGTTTCCGTGACATTTTTACATCCTTTCATTTTATTTGGTCATTTATATCCATGGATCACAACATGTTGCTCTTAGGTGCTTGGGAAGTACTTTTTCTTCCTGCAGCACATTAATAGCAGTATCCTTCGTTAATTGTGCTGAGCTAAATTGCATAAAAGGGCCTGTCTGTGTTTACATCATGTAAAATTTGCTTCTGGGGCATGGGATTTCATCCAAATGCCAAGCCTTGCAAGTTGCTATAGTGGGGGTTTATTTTTCTTGATTTTGTTATATTTGTTTATTTGTTTATATTGTTTTTTTTTGAGATTTTTTTTGTTAGTTTGTTTTTTATTTTGTTTTAAGTCCTAGGTAAAAAGTATTTATCTGAGAATTGAGTAATATAACCTCTAGGTCCTCTCCTAAACTCAAGGACTGCCATGATGGCCAGAGGCAGACTTACCATGGGGCAGGGATTTGAAGGTACCAAGGATATGGATATCTATTCCCACTTCATAGCCCTGGCTAGTGCATAGAGATGGAAGTGCAAGTGGGTATGAATTAATCACACCTTTTGAAGGGAGAGGGTGTCTTTCCTTCTGTACCAGGAAGCTGTAATATTTCATGGTTAGACACTGAACTGTGATATATTAGGTAAGAGAGGGCTACCTGAGGTCTGACTGCTACCTCTTACCTGTGTAAGCAGTAGCTTGTTGTCTTCTTCAAGTCTGTGGGCTCCCTGAAATGATGCAGCAGAATTTTGGATGAATGTCAGTTTGAAGCCAATGCCAGCTTCTCTTTCACAGCAAGCCATGAAATGTCATTCAAAAATAATTTCTTTGCAGCCATCCTTCTCTGTTGACTGTCCAGGAAGGCTAGAACTATGCATCTGCTATTATAGGTGCATGTGCTGAATATCTCATGTTAAGTGGGCAGAAACAGAGGTAGGAACTAGTCTGGCATTGCCAAGTCTGGACTCATAAATGCTGGATATTGATATTGAATATCACAGATGCGTGAGAAGTGAGAATAATACAGAGCTGGTGCCATTTTTTGTTAAAAGGGTGTTTCTGAACAAAAAAAAAGCATATTACAGAAAAAATAAAAATTTTCAGTCTTGCAAGGGTTCTCATTAGATGCCCTGATAAGATCAACACCTATCGTGTCTTTTCTAGATATTGGTTCTTCTAAGAACATAAACAGAGCCCAAGTATAGAAAATTTGTTCAACTTCTACATTACTAGAATCTACTTTGAAACTTAATTTTGTTCATTTGCCCAGCATGAGTTGTGCAAAGCAGCTTAAAGTACTCAAAATAGTAAAATTACAAGTAGCCTACCTGAACAAAAGCATTTTAAAATAATGTTTAGTGGTGTTTGACACTTGCTTTTGTCTGCTTCTAATTTTTTTTTTCTGATTTATTTTCCTTGCCAATATTTGGATGTTTCCATCTTTAGAGCGTATCTCAAAACCCAATTATCAGTTGTGCACGTATTCCTTCTCCCCTCTTGCCATCACTAATGTTTATCTAGATCTAAGATCTAGCATGTTGAATTTTTATTCAAAATATTTGTGTGGAGTTTGGCAGAGACCCAGTGGCAAACACAGCATTTTAGAACCCACACTTTCAGTTCAAGACAGCCTCTCACAAATACCTTAAACCATGCAGTTACAGAAGTGTCCTGATTTGGAAATGTGCTGAATTACCACAACATTTAATAAAGCAAGGTTCAAAGGTCATTATTTTGCATCATCATCAGATTTGACTAGATATATTTAAGAGAGAACACTATAATTGACTGAGGACTAAATATATATATATATAAAAATTAAAAAGAATAATAATAATTCTGAGTTTACCTGAACTACAAACAGATCTCCAAAATATCCATGGACTTTGAATTAGGTGAAAAAAGTTTTTGCTTATCTTTATTCATGAGACAAGAGAAATTTTCCTTGATGAGCTCAGTTTCTGGTACTTCATCTATTGCATATTATATTAATGAAAAACGTGTTTCAAAAGTCACATCACTAAAGCATAGATTTTCTGTGATGGAACACTGTCAATTATGTCACCACTAAACTCATTATATACACTCAGAATGATGGAGAGAAAAAAAATCTTCATTTTGAAATCCCCAGATGCTTTTTGCAGGATGACATCTAAACTAGGATTTATACTGTACCTGATGTTTAATTTGAAGCTTCAACAGTGCCTGAATTTTTTTCTCCACCCATGCTCATCCCAGCAGGAACCTTATGCCCATTTCCCTCATATGAAGACAAATTTCTTTTTTCAAAACCCCTAGTTATGCATGTACCACAAGTGAAAACCCTGGAAACACATGAAATATTTGTCACAAATTAAGTCAAACTGTTGCAAGCAACTGGCATTCTACTCATTTTTGGGGTTTGGCAGAACCTCTGTGATTCCTTCAGCTCTCTACTCTATTCTATCACCTTTCTAGGGCATACTCAGGATAAAGTCTTAGTTCCTATTTTCAGATCTTCTATCTCAGAAGGTATCTTTTGCTTGATGTCTGTCTTCTGAAACAAACTGGAGTGCTGAAAATAATATGTTCAATATTGTTAATATTAAAAATTTCAAATTCAACACCCTGCATTTGTGGAGAAACGTTGGGAGGTTAATTGTGTCCTTTTGTGACATAAAGAGACATTTCTGTCAGAGCAAAGCTTCGGAATAAGGGCTAAGCAAAGATGGCATCAAGCTAACCGAGGGGTTTATTACAGTAGCAGCAGATAACATTCAGGACTGTATTCAGAATTTATTAAGTTGTTCCTTCCATATCAAAATACCAAACACAAAACCAGCTTCATTCTAATTTTATCATTGCCTTTGGAGAGGAGGCTTTACATTTGTTAAAATGTGCTTATATGTGTGCTTATTTGTTGAGAGGATTATATTTATGCTCACAAGCATTTCAGAAACAATTTTATGAAAACCAGTGAATCTTCATTGCAATATTTCTCCTATACTGCAATGACATTCTTTCCCTACTGAGGTGCTGTTTGTGTCTACATAAAATTTGTATGCAAATGCAAAAATAATTGCTTAACAAAAGAAACAAACAAAAAAAAAAGCTGTTCTCATTGGTAATTCCTCATGGGTGCCACTTTAAAGGAAACAAAGTGATATATTGGAACAGAGATTGCTTACCCCTCATTTTTTAATACAGGTAGGGCCCCAGAGACAGAGCTTTGTATGGCTGAAACTTCCTTCTCTGCTGGTCTTTTCCTTCTCTGAGGCAGATGATGCATAAAGGATTGCATTGATTTTTCCAGTTGGAATCATATTCAGATCTTGCTTATGGTTCCGAAATCCACACAATCCAAACTCTTCTGTTTTCCAACTCTTGCCATGCTATTTGATTTCCCATAGACTAGTGCATTACTAGGAAGGGAGTCTAAATAGGATCTTCATCTTATTTTCCGTCCCTGCTGTGGTGATATTTTGTCTTCTGCTCCAGTCTTGGATTGCACCACTCAAAAACCCTTTCCTACTGACTTAAAGAGAGGTTGCAGGTATCAGAAGGTACTGAACTTTCCTTCTCTTCTTTGGCCCCTTTTTTTTGGCCTGATATAAATCAGAAGTGGTTCCCATCCCATGAAAACTTGTGTAAGGTGATTTCCTAGCTGTGCTATTTCTTTTTGCTTATATTTTTAAAAAATCTTTTAGACTCCCCCTTCCCCCATACATAAATTATAAGTATTTCACAGTATCAACCATATATGCATTTTAGGGTGAATCTCAGCAAGGGAAAGTACTTTAGATGTGATTAGATATTAATGGGCCATCAGTTAACAGGACCAGACTAAAAAGACTGGTCTGACATCAAGTCTTCAACACACACTGGGGTTTTCACTGTTCAGTGGTGTCCCCCCAACCCTTGGTTTCATTCTACAGGTTCACTCCTGTTGCACCACAGTACTTGTTATAGAAGGCATAACCAAAGATGATAACTTCCAGACTGACTGCAGAGGGTAAAAAATTATTAAGCTTTATTCTGTAAGGGTTAGTAAGATTTAATTTAATTTAATTTTTAAATTTAATTAAGTTAATTTTTATTTAGGAAGAATTTAATTTTTTTTACTGCAAAGGTTAGAAAGGGTGTTAAGACACCCTTTAAGGGTGATTTTAAAGGTCATGCTATTATGCTCTGATATTGCCTTGAGAAGGCTGACTGTGGAGAAGGGTAACAGGGTAGCAGTAATGTTTTTGTTTCCAACCTCTTTCCATGGTATTTTAAAAACTTAGGTCCAAGCAGAGCTCAGAGATTTTATATGGGTAAACCTTTCTCTGCATCCCTTATCAGGCACGATCCATGTGGTATCTAAACCATTTGGTTGGGATTTAATATGACCCATAAATGACGGCTCTCAGCATTGTAAAGGTCTGCAAATAACCTTCATATCACCATGATTTTCCAAGTCCAGACATTAGTATTGTCCATTCCACAATGGTAGGAAAAAATGCCACCCTCTTTTTCCTGTTTGTCTTATACGAACGTAGACATTTAAACTATTCTGCTGAACTTATTAACAGCTAATCACAGATCCATAGCTTTGGATTAAGAATCTTATTGTCTCTTCCATGCTCTGGTGTAATCATATTTTCCTGCTTTTATGCATACGTTTCTTGACTTCCAAATAAAGCTGTTAATAGAGAGTTTACATCTGCCACTGTGCCTTTGTCACAGCTATGATACCTGTCTTTGATCATTCTTTCTTGGTCCTGTTTTCTTCTCCTCAAATTGTTCATTTTTATAATGAATGATATTGTGTTCCCCTGTCAGAGAACAAAATGTATTTTGAGTCAATTTACTAAAATAGTTACTACTAAGTGTTATATCTGCACAAAGTTGACACCTTTGACATTTTCTAAAATGGCAAAAATAACAGTATTTAAGGTATGATTTATGGGTACTCTATGTCAAAGGAATTTTTATGCTATTACAGTTTCTGATGCAGCAGTCCCAACTCCTTCAATGAACAAATTGCTGATAGTGCAGCTAATTAATGCTTTATTAGTTTTTTGTGGTCAATTATAAAAAGTTATAAAAAAGTAAAATGCAATTTAATAATGAAGAACTGTGTGGTTCTTGTTTCTCTCTCAGAACCGCTTTGTTTTTTGCATGTGGAAGAAACAATTTCTACACAGCTCAGTTTTATAAGACACATTCACTTCCCCCCAGCCAATAAGCAGAAGGAACTCCTATGATTAAAAAGTAGACTGGAGTCTTTAAATGCCTTTCTGATTGCTGGCCTCTATTAAAAACTTCTTAAAATAATAGATAGGTTTAATTCCTCAAGCCAAAGAAAAATTGTATCATCTTAAGTATTTTCCATATTTATTATATTGATGAGATTTGGCTGGTGAGAAAAAAAAGGGAAGTAAAATCTCTTGTATTGCGAGTTTTAAATGTACCAGGCTAAGGTTTACTTAATTAGAACCTCCAGGCAATAAAGGAGCCCTTTTTTAAATTCTGTGAATCTTAATATGCTAAATAATGCAAAGCTTCAACTCTTCAAGCATGAGACACACATCTGGCAGCTTAACATTTAAATTACAGGAAAAAAACCACTTCAGTAGTAATTTTCATGAAGAAAAGAATGGGAAATGTATTGCAACTAAATTTAATTTCTTTTTAGATTTTTCATCCTGTCTAATTGCAGGCATTTCCCATCTTGTCTTTTATTTATTTATTTTCATACAGATTTTTTTCTGTACTTTTTATTGATCTTTAATTTGAGCAGCTTCTTACTGTTACAGCCATTGAAGAATTACATTGTGTTTTTACTTAGCAAAAATTGTTCAGAAAAATCTATGAGGAATTAAAGTAATGAGCTCAGTGGTATAGAAAGAAAAGAGCATTCAGAGCCTTACAAATAAAATATAAAAAGAGCATGTCGTGATTAAATAACAGACTTGAGTTCCTTCTCCCTCCCATTTCTTAAATGTAGAATATTATTGTTTTCTTTATTCCTTTTATTGTCCCATTTCTTTTTTTTTTGCCAAGATAATTACTGCTTTATTCATCTGACTCCAAAAACATTGTTAAAGTATTCATCATTTCAGCAAGGCTGTTTGGAAAGCCATTTTTGTGTACTGGGAAAAAAAAAAAAAAAAAAAAAAAAGAAGAAGGAATTAAACAAAGAAAACCACAGGAACCATTTTTACAAAGGTATATTTATATTTTAATGTGCATTTATGGGTCCATACATGCATCCCATATACAAGATACATAGCGACAGTTTGAGCAGGTTATACTGCATGTGTGCCCACCTGACATACCCAGCAGCTGTATTTCATGCCATTTTGCTGAATTCAGTAGAACCTCTTCTTTCATAAATATTTTTATATATTTATATAATATATATAATATATACATAATATATATATTTCGTAAATATCTGTAAATTCCTCATTCACTATGAATGCTCAACACATCTACACACCTGTACATATGTGTATATATATATATGTAGAAAGTAGGAAATACAGGAGTGTACACAAAGACAGCCTTCAAACTGTGACATTGTATGTGCACGTATTGTGTATCAACCACTGTAACACCTAAGAGCAGATCCTTCCTTTACTGTGATTTTAAATGCACTAGACTGTCCTTTACTGTGTGCAACTCAAAATAACTGAAAAAGAAAAAAAAAAAGAAATTTAAATAATTGTTAAATGTGTTTTTGGCTTATTCTTCATGTGTCATACATTAAAGAGTGTAGTACAGACCTTTATTTTTGCCACACCGCTGCTTACTATGATGTGGGAGTCCATTTTTTTTCATTCCACAGGTCACTGCTTTTCAGGAGCTCCCTCAGGAGCTTGAGGGGCATGTGACTTGTGTTTTCTAAGAAAAGTTTATTCAAGTACCTCATGTCCCTGTGCCTCATTCTTGATCCACAACTATGCCCATATAAGAAAATTAACCTCCTTCTGTCTTCTGAAGAACGCTTCCTGGGGCATTTAAATACCCTCCCATGGCATTCTTCTTGTGTCTATTATTTCTTTATTTCTACTTTCCCCACCATTTTTCATCTATGCAATTGTTATTTCTAACACCACAGCATCTGAAGTCTTCTCTGCATTTATCATACTAACACTTTCAGAATGTAGGAGAGAAATAACCACCTATTTATAACTCAGATGGAGGGGGAAAAGTAATCAGCCTGAAGTCAGCCAGCATCTTGCTGGGGGAGGGAACCAGCTGCTTCCTTTCCAGAGGTTTACCTTGTGCACAAATATAAAAATAATTTATGTTTGTTTTGTTGGGTTTTTTTTTCCCTTACAGAGGATTGCCAAGATTGCCATGGCAATGCAGACAAGCACTGTGGCTCTTTTTGGCTGAAGGAAATCCAAGGAGGACATCACAAGGTACTGGTCTTGATATGAACATCACCTCCTCCCTTAAAGCTCACAGAGAAGCCACTGGAGCTTCTACATGTGTCATTTGAGAGTGATTTGTGGTCTTGCTTGCTCTGGTTGTTGTTTCTTTAATCTATCCCTGTGAATTTTTTTGTAGCCAAAATTAGGCTTCCAGGTGTATTGCTGTCTCCTGTACAGTGAATCTCTTCAGCAATGAAACTGCAAAGGAGGAGTAGGAAGGACCACTGAGCAATCAAACAACAGAAGCTTGATCAAGCTGCAGGATGATATTATTTCAGTAATGTGTAAACATGAGATAGGTTTCATATGCATCCATAAACTTCAAGCTCTCGTGTACTTGTGCAGAAGATTATCAGAAAATTTTAGTATATGTATTTGTAGTATCCTGGCCAAGGACATCATTAATTTGTGAACAAATATTGTGTCCTCAGTGCAAGTTACCATGGAATTTTTTCTGCAACAGGATAACACTTTCAGGGTGAGATGCTACTAAAACTTTCAGATTTCATGTAAATACTGAGAAATAAGACACAAAGAAGACTTTGTATTCCTGAAAATTGCTTCTCCCTGCACTAAATTATTAAATTAGATATTTTCCAATGATAGTTGGATTTTTTTCTCTGTAAGTGTTGTTCCACTTCTAACCTTAAATCAGTATGGCTGCAGTGAATGAACTGCAAACATGAACATTCAAATTAATCATTCTGGTAATTTGTCTCACCCTGTTCAAGATACACCCTGAAGCATTTTTAATGCTTTCAACTGCCCATAGGAAAAAATCACCATAGTACTCAGAGTACCCAAAAACTTGTGTAGTGTAGCACAAACACTCAATGGCTGGGGATTACAATTGCCACTTTTAAATTTAGTACAGTGATGATCTACATTTGTGAGCAAAACCAGACTGGCCAACTGGATATTCCCTTGCTTTTCAATGTCTAAGTTTCCAAGTGATTTATTTCTTCAGGAAGATAAGGATAACTTGAAGAAAACAGAGTTTCATATAAATATAGCTGCAGACTGAGGTGTGCATGCGTGTCTGTGTTTATATCTAGAGGAGGGATGATTTAAAGACTGATGGAATGGGTGTAATGGGCAAAGCAACCCAGCCCAACCCATGGGAGTGACAGAGTGAAATTCATTTCCTACAATCCCATAATATCACAATGCCTTTGAACAAAATGCCATGGTCTTATAGGCACCTCAGTTGTGGGTGGCTCTCAAAGCCACATTAAAGTGACCTGGTTTCAGCGAGGTGCGTAAACCCATGGGTAATTCAGCGCTGTCTAGTCCCTTTGGTCTCACTGAGATGACTCAGAAGCTTACAGTTATTGACATGTTTGAATAGATTTCTGAACTGAACCTCTTATGAGAATCCTTCTGCATAAAAGAAATGTGAGCATGTGAAGTCTCCTTTCAGAGGTTGTGAGAGCCCCTCATTTCTAATGGGATAAGTGAATCCTAATGTTCAGAGAGAGCCTTGTTTTAGCATGTTCAAGATTTAGGCATTTGACCTGATTTATATAATTTGGGTCTAGTTGTATCTTTGGATAGTATCTTGTAAAATAATTTTACCTAACAATTGATTATAGAAAACAATGACTAATGTAAAGAACAGACTTAAGGAAGAAGACACAAGTTCATGTAGTGGTTTATTCTCCTCATCAGTCCCTTTACTTTTTGTAAACAGATTTTTATTTTATTTTATTTTATTTTATTTTATTTTATTTTATTTTATTTTATTTTATTTTATTTTATTTTATTTTATTTTATTTTATATCAAAAGGAATAAGAAAGATCTTTGAGTCTGACCTCATCTTTTTGGAGAGTATAAATTTCTCTGCTTTGCCCTCACTGCCCCCAAATTCATCTGTGGTAAAGAGGTGCAAATGGTCTCTCACTAAGTGTATTCTGAGTGATGGGCATTGGCAACAATTCAGCTTTTGTCACAATGAGTGTGCAAATCACTGCATGTATTAAGATATTGAATGTATCAATAAAAGACAGAATGCTCACAGTCAGTGATTTCTGAGAGAAGTAAAGCATTCTCTGGTTATAATGCCAACCCCATGCAGATGACTGAGTTTCTACTTTTTGTACCTCAGACAAGAACAAACAGAGTCTCAGAGAAATTAACTCATAATACTCTTTAACACCTTTGGGATTTCTGTTATAAATAAGATCTTTACTTTACAAAGGAATAGTTTAATGCAGACAATGTCAGTGCAAACAAAGTATGTTGCACATGCTACCCATTCTGAAACCTTGACTTCTAGGGAATAAATTGGGGCAGTCATGTGGCTGAAATTCAAAATGTGCATGAGATCTATGTAATCCAAGATTCAGAGCACAAATTCACATTTTAAAGCAAAATGGTTTACAGAGTAAAAAAAAAAGCAACAAAAAACTAACCAAAAAACCACCTCCACCAAACCCCTCCCCAAAAAAACCCAAACCAACCAAAAACCCCCAACAAACAACCCAAAAAACAAACCAAACCAAACCAAAACAAAAAAAAAAACCAAAAATATTTGCAGTTTTCATAATTAGGAAAGTGTAAAGTAGTGTGACTGCAATGCATCCATTCCCTTGTCCTCTCTGGACTTGTTCACTAAATGCTAGCAAACCCCTTGCAGAATTTGGTATTGTGCCTGGGAAGGTATTAATAGATATCACCATGGAAGTCACCATGATATTTGTCTGGTAAATTTTGACCTCATTGTGTCTTTTGGTGGAAGTGACGTTTGGCTTTCTGTCCAGGGGCGATAATGCCAAACATCCAGGGAATATGATAGTCAATTCAGAGGGGCGATGCCAGTGCTGAATCAGGCCCCGTGCATGCAAAAGTGTTATTCCAGGGATGAGTTTGTAGCTCAAAGAGCAGTTTAAATGAGTTTAATGAGTTTAAATAAAACTGGCACTAGCACTGAAAGGTGCTGTCCTGTCCCTCTCCTTTGTGCTGGCAATTGGGGCAGGGTGGCCTGGATCAGAATGGGTCCAGCTGAGAGCTAACCCAGTTAATAAAAGAAAAGGAAAAAAAAGGAGCCAAACAGTATTAATTCCATTCCCAGATCAGTTCCCTCCATATGGCTTACTATGGACACTTCCAGATTTTTGCACTGACAGAGTGTGGTATGCAGCACTGGAAAAGGCAAGTGGGTGGAGGAAGACTGGCTGACTGCTGGTGTCACCATGAGCTTGCACCTCCTTGAGAGGGTTTGTCCCATGATTTTCAAATGCTGAAAAGGTCCTTGGATGTGTCCAGAGGAGGGGAAAATAGGGGGCTGGAAGGCATGTCCTGTCAGGTGTGACTGAGGACTTGTCTAGCTTGGAGAAAAGCAGGCTCAGGGGAACCTTATTCTTCTCTACCGCTTCCCGGGGAGAAAAAGGGGAAAGGGAGGGGCTGAGATCTTCTTGCTCATATTCAGTGATAGGATATGTGTGAATGTTTCAAAGATGCACCAGGGAAGGTTCAGACTGGACAGCAGGCAGAGATTGTTTACTGAGAGGATGGCCAAAATCCCAGAAGAGTCTTCCTAGAGAGGTAGTTGATGTCCCCAGCGTGTCAGTGTTTAAGAGGCATTTGGACAGTGTCCTCAACAGAATGCTTTAACTTTTGGTCAGTTCTGAATTGGACCACAGATGCTTGTTGTAGGTCCCTTCCAATTGAAATAGGCTAGTCTATTCAAAGCGTTTTGAATGCGTGTTCAAAGCAGCTTTGTCACTGCTGCTTCCCATGTTGTTATAGAGTGAAAACAGAGCTAGAAGTCAAAACAGATAAAATGGCACCTCTTTGCTAGCTATGTCCAGCTAATTACCTTAGTGTTCTAACTTGTTTCTTATTTTTATTTAAAGGTCAGCTGGAATAACCCACCTGACCAATGTTATGAAGAAAAATCAGGTCTCGAGAACAATGCAAGCCAAGAAGCAGGGAAAACATCTGCAGAGAGTAATTTTTATTTGGAAGACTTGGAGAAATATACCTTTTCTGTGTGGTAAGTGACCTCAGCATCAAACAGTTTCACAACCCGAAAGTTTGCCTTGCTATATGTGCATTACAGAGGCATCTACCATTAGATGAAAGTTATTGGCCTGAAAAAACCCCAAAAAAACCAAAAACTAGAACTCATGGGATTTTCTTGGACTTCTTATTCAATTATTTATGATTGAAGTTGAATTAAAAAAAATTGGGAGTGCTTTTCATCTGAGAATGCAATTTTGTCATTGCTGCATTGTTTTGAGAAGCTGTGTCAGGGGAATAAAGGCAAAAATATTTCCAGCATAATATTTTCAGCATTTTAGGGAGCAATACGCTACCTTTTTTTGATGTTACTTTGAATATTATTACTATTCTCTATTATAAAATCCACATACAGAAAATGACTTAAAATGAATAGATAAATTAAAGTAAAATTAAAAAGGCTACATCAAAATGAAATCTTTTAATTTACTTATAATTATATTTCCTGGAATTTCATCTTCTAGGTAATTCCAAAAGTTGGACAGTTATTTGTAATTAGTAAAAAACAATGAAGACCCAATCCTTTACTAAATGAAATGATCTGATAATCTTTCATATAGCTCCCTACTGTGCTTTGAATATTGAAAACCCAGCTGTAATGTACATTTCTGGCACCCATGATCTCCAAATCAACCCCTAGAGTTTCAAATAAAGCATCCAGAAAACAAACATCAGAATAAGGTGTATGTCTGTGAAAATTTAGTTTTAAGTTACTTCCGTATCAAAACACAAGACAGGATTATCTCACAGGCAAGCCAAGCAGCCTTCAACATTTCTAGTTCTGTCTGTGCCCTGCTCTCATTTCCTTTGCTGCCTCTAAAATTGTCAGGAAGTCAGGTAAAGACCTTATGGACCCCAAGTGCATTTTCAATGTGGCAATCTGAACTCAGCCCTAGAGGTCATTAACCCTGAGTACTGAAGAAGGCAGACATTGGGCAGAATAATAATACACATTCATATAATTAGGCTTTCATAATTCTGCTGGATTAATTATGGTTATTTTGGATGATTAAGGACTCCCCCATCCTGGTTATAATATAAGAATGGATTTTAGAGTAGCAGTACTCATCCAAATATCCTTGCCAGCTCCCAGTGTTTCATTTTACTTACCTCAATTTTAAAATTAAATTAACCAAATTATCATCAATTATCTATCTGCTTTCCGTGGTGGTGAACTTCACTTTCTCTCTTCCATGTCTTGCAGAGTTACAGTGATAGAATTAATATTTAATTGAATATGCCCCACTCCTGGAAACATTCAAGGCCAGGTTGGATGGAGCCCTGGACCACCTGGTCTGGTGGAAGGTGTCCCCACCCATGGCAGAGGGTGTGGAACTAGGTGGCTTTTAGGGTCCCTCCTAACCCAAACCATTCTGTGGTTCTGTCTACCTTTAAAGTCAGCAGCATTGATCCTTTATTCTTTTCAAAGTTGTTCAGCTTAAAAGTGTTGGGAAAGAGGCCCCACTCCATGCTTATCAACCTGGCCCCAGGCTTTGAACTCCATGGCCTTTGCAACTGCACAAGGTATCTGGAGGAGCAGAGGGGACAGGCACTTGTCTCTGTTGGAATGCACCTCACCTTCTGATTTGGGGAGTAGGAGAAATGACTGCCCTTTCTTCTATTTTGTTTTCTACTTCTCTTCCTTGTCCTTTTCTAGGGAGCCCAGCTGCCCCTGAGCCCCATCCCTTCAAGGACCCTGCCTTTGCCAGGGTTCCCAGGGCAGGCAGAGTTTTATCTGGGCTCAGGAAGTTACAGAGCATGAACCAGATCTTCCTGGTACAAAACAAATGCAACAAGGCGCGTGTCAGGGTGCTGCTTGTCCTAGCTGAGGCCAGTATTTTGTTATTTCAATATGCCATTCTATTTACTGTATCTGTCATCCTGTTGGAAATAAGGACCAGTTCTTGCTTTATTTACTTATTTGTTATGTTCAAGTCCCATGATGTTAGAACAAAACAGAATTTAGAGGGAATCTCTTTCCTTTCTGCTTCATTTGTGGTGATCATTTTTATCAGAAAGAAAAAAAACAAACAGGAAAATGAAATTACTCCACTCTTGGTCAAGTAATATAAGTATTACATACACTATGCCATATAGCGATAATATAATAACATAATATAATATAAGAATATAGTAATAATCTATTTTTTAAATATAGAGTTAATTCAGGAAATTTACTCGGGAATCTGTTACCTTGTGAATTGTTAATTCCATTTGTTACTATACCAGCATGATGTTTTGATTGTTACTCACTTCTGTCTCTCTCCTTCCCTTCTCTCCTACTTTCTCCATCAAAAGGCATCAACTCCTCTTTGTCTGTTTCCAGACCTTCCTCTCTACTACAATTGCTACCTTTAAAAAATGCAATGTAAGATAATTAGCTACTACAAAAATTTTTAATAGCACTGTAGATCTGGGGAAAGCTTAGATCTCCACAAACTTCAGAGTTTTAGATGCTTCAAGATGCAATCTGAGCAATTTCCTTGATCTTTTATTGCAGCTGGTAAATCATTTATTGGGCTAGGTTATTTTACAAAATCCTCTTTAAAAACAAAATCCCATAAAATGTATTTATCATAAAGTACTGCATGACCAACAATCTTCAAAGTTGTACATACCCTGTATTAATTAAAAGCTAGTGTTGTACTGTGACAATTTAAAAGTATCCACTGTCTCAGTCTCTCTCTTCCTGCCCTCGCACCCCGCCTCTCCCACGATTTTTTCTCTCTTCTTTTCTTTCTCTCGTATTCTCTTCTCTTTTAAGGCTTGCCAAAGGGAAGATTGGTGAGTACGAACAAGAAATTCTTTTGTGATCACAAATATTTTTCTGATAATTGGGATTTTGGGTTTTTTTGTTGCTTCCTTTGCTATAGCATGCTTGTTCTTCTCCCTTCATATTAATTTGACAGTGGTGTCTCACATCCGTAGGCCATAGTCAAACCTGCTTACAGTGGGCATTATACACATATATAATAAAAAGATCATTTTGGCTGCAGAAGCCCACAGGCTTCAGCTTCGATCTCGCAGAGTACACAAGTGCCTTTCCCCCAGTGCCCACGTACAGCTTTGCTCAGAGCAGCAGGCTTTTGCTTGGGTCCAGTGAGTTGAGGGTGAGGGGGATGAGTCCAAGAGATGAAGTGAGGGATAAGAGGTTAAGACAACAGGCAAATGTGGCTGTATGTTGCAGGGCCATCCATTCTGCTGGTGTGGTCAGCTGCAGTCACAGCCTGGTAGATGCCAGGTACACACCAAGTGCTTTGCTGACCTTCCTGGAGAGCCCACCCCATGACCTTGCCTCGCACCGCAGCATCACTGAACCTGCGTTCTCTGGGATTTCTGTTCCTGGAGCTAAAAGCCTGTGTAATCTGCAGCAGAACATCAAAATTATTCGTGACTATTATTCGTCTGAATAATACGGGTGAGATCTGTAACCTTGAGAAAAAAGGAGGAAAGTTTGGAGGAATTTTGACCTTGCAGCCCAAAATCTGCTGTTAGAAGCTCTCTGGCTCTCTTCTGTTCCCTGAAACAAGGGAAAAATGTTCTTCATGACTATTTGTCACTATAAAGCCAGATTTCCTGAACATGTACAAAAAAAAATCAGATGTGAGAAATAATTTCAACACTTCAGTGCTTTAACTTTGCTTTTTATATACGGTTCTAGAGGAGATGTGAAAAAGACCTCAGATTTCAGAAACCTTCCTTTGTCTTAATACAAAAAAAAAATAAATAATGACATACACACTTTCTGTGACTTTAGGAATCTTCTGAGTTTAAATATAAAAACCAGTAGTTTCAGTTGCCAACAACTTATCATCAAACACAGCTCTCAAGGGTTAATATTACACACTAATATAAAAGTAACGATCATCCTTTGTCTCCATGCAATTAGCTTTTTAACAACGTGCCTGTAGCTCCTACCCAGGCTAAATGCTGCTTTGAAATATTTTCTCCTCAACTCCAAATGTATAAAGTTGACTCTGGCCAGCTTCTATAAAACCAATTAATTGTAGGGCACCGCCTTTTGTGGGGGAGTACCCAGTGCCCCACGCAGCAGTGCCATGTGTTGCCTATGGTTGCAGCACCAGACAGCATCTTGATGCAGGAGACAGGCTGGTAAATCCTATCTAGAGTCATATTCTTGCATTTCTGGAATCCAGGACATTGGACCAGGCTTTGCTTCTCACTCACACCCATCGGGATCAGATGCAGCTCTTGTTCAAGAGAGGTAGAAAGGGGATGGTGAGGACAAAATGGGTTCTTGGCAGCATGTGACAGCCACCAACAATCCTGCCTTTGCACCTGTAGACTTTATGATTTTTATTATTTTTTTTTTCCAAATTGAGGAGGATACTGAGGGGCAGGAAGAGTTAACTATAAAGAGCACAATACAATAAACTTGTTTTTCATATAAAGACAATAAACTTTCCCTTTATAATACACATGTGATTTGACATTGAAATAAATGCAGATGCTTCTTTGCTTCGTGTATTCCCTGTTGTGCTTTCTAAAACACCTTCACATATGGTTTGCCTCATTCCTGTGAAACTGCTTGTTGTTTATGTCATACAAACAGAACAGATTGAATTTATACCAAGTTAGGAGGGTGATGAATCCTATGTTAGAGGAAAACCCTTGCCTGAGTGTTTTGAATTTGTTCAAAATTTACATTGCCTGTTAAAAATTGCCCTGGATTGTCCCTTCAGCTTTTCTAAAGATTTCATTAAAATAAAAAAAAAATAAAAAAAAAAAAGAAAAAAGAATTCTGTGGCTGCCTATAAATGCAACCTTTTATTCAAATATGTAACATTTACCTAAAATCAAAGGTCAAATTTTACCAGCTTTTTATAGCAGTCCTAGTAGGATCTGCTTCATGCACTATATATAAAATACTGCCATTAAGAGCGGATATTCAACTTCCTTTGTGAAAAGCAGAATAACCCTTTACTGCTTGCTTTAAAAAGTGCTAATCTTTTA